GGGTGGGTGAATGGGGTCAAAATACTTTATATGCATGTGTCAAATGGAAGAATGAAGCTTCTTGCTAAAGGGGAAGGGGGTAGGACTGAGAGTGATAGAGAGAAGGAGCACATGGCATGCATAGACAGACGTCAAAATGGAATTAATTGATAATAGCAAAAGAATGTAAGGGAAAAAAAGAATTTTGCCCAAACAAAAAAGAAATGTCGTTGCTAGGAAAGTGATTACTGTTTTCATTTCATGCAAAAGCTCTGAGGTAAAAAGTTCTGATGGATGCACAGTAATGGAAATGTACCTGAATGTCATATTTGTAGATCTGAAAATGGCATGTATGTTAGCATAATTTGAAAAAGACCTCTCAATAAATAGCTTTAGGGGGAAAGTCCAGTCTTTAAACATAACCCTCTCTTCTTTTCTACAGGGCACACAAACAGGCTAGTGGAGAGGATTGGGAGCTCCTGCTTAAGTGTAACAAAGGAATATCAAATGGTACAGAATTCCAAATGAAATAGAGGTCCTAGACTTTTCTGGACAGGTGAGATCCTCTAAGAAGCTTCAATGAAAATTAAAGTCATCATGATAAGTACAATCAGAAGACAAAGGAAGCACACGAGCTGTTGATAGTAGTGATTCCAATCATCAGGAAAAAGTAAATGGATAAAACCTAAGAATATGCTTTTTCCCAATAGAAGTAAACCAGTGAACTCTTGAACCATCATCCAGTTATTGGTAGGAGTTGACATGAATTGAAGATTTTACATAGAGCATACATTTACGCCTCATAACTAATTACATAGAGTGTCTATGTCATATCTGAATGTTTTCATTGTCTCTGTTTCCTCTCACATCAAGTTCTTACTCAAAGAAATTTTGAACAGCTTAGAATTCTACTGCATCTGTCAAACTGAATTTACAAATTAGTAATGGGTAACCAAATTGTATATAACAGGATGCTTTTCTTTGTTGAAATATTAAAACTAATAAAATAAAAATCTCATAGAATTACAGTAACTGTTTTTGGAACCTCTATGGGATTTGATCACTGATCACTAACTGCTAGTGTTATTAATGAGAGACAATTATTGGAGAATGCATGGCTCCCAATGAAAGAGACATCTTAATAAAATAGTCTGTAGAGGGTCCACTTCTTGGTATCTTCTCACCCTAACCTCACAGGGGTCTTGCTAACACCGCTTATATAATGGCATCAATCTCAGTCATGAGGCCTCTGCTCTCATGACTACTAATAATCTGCTGCCCAATCCCTGCCCCAAGATCCCTCTTCTATAGAGCATTCCCTCAGAGTCAGGATTTGATATCTGTTTTCCATGCGTGAGCATATGCGCGCGTGCGCACACACACACACACACACACACACACACACACTTAGAACATAGCACCCTGATAGATTGGCAGCATCCACACAGGGTGGATCATGTCTGATTTCTTAGTCCTAGGGCAAGCACAGCTTAACAAATCAAAGCACACATGAGAAATAAACTTAGGTTTAACAGGAAGACATATTTCTAATAGAGTGGAGTAGAGATTCATGGACCGATTCAAGAAGCTATCATTTTCCTTCTCGTGGGAGGCCCTTGCTCAAGCTTAAATGGCATGAGATTGAAAGGATTTCAGTGACCAGACCAAATGATTTTTAGCCTCTGTGTGAACCAAAAGACCTATGATTTAAATTCTGTGGGCAAGGTTATGTTTCTAACACCATAGATTTCATTTTAGCACATCAGTTCAATTCAGATCCATTCTGGAGAAGTTCAGTAAACACATTTCTACCTAATTAGTTCTGTTCAAATCAAAATTTTATTTGCTATTACTGCCATCTTTTCTTTCTCCTCTCCCTACTCCCCAAAGGTAATAAATAATATTGCCATTTTATTGTAAGGATGCATAAAGTTTCAGAAAATGCAGCAGACAGTGAGGAGAGGTCAGACTCAGCAAAGAGAAAAAATATTTCTGAGATCCTTAGCATCAACTGTGCCAAAAGTAAATGCAGATAGGATAAATGACACAAAGTCATTACCTCTCCATTTCCCTTTCTGCTGATTTGATTCTTACAAGGGCCCCATTTTCCATGGAAACAGATCAGACTTACAGCAATATAAAGATTGCATCTTTTATTTATAAGGCAAAAAACCTACCCAAATACTTTTTATTAAAATTGTGTGCCCTGTAGTACTGGCTTTCAGAGTATTAATCAAGTATTAGGCAACTTTTGTCATTCATGTAGGAATTAATAAGCAAAAACCTTGAAGGTCAATCTCCTCAGAAGTTACTGAGACTATTAGTTCTGACAGTGATTATTTGATTCAGTTTGATCTTGAAGTTTGGGGTGAACGTTTGAGAGACATACTCCCTATCTGTGTTTCATTCCCTCCTTCCTTCTAGGAGAACATCTTTGTGAGATTAGCTTCTATTGATAAATTAATTTGCAGACAATTGGAGGATTAGGAAAACAATATACTATTAACCGTTAATAATAAAAGTGCAAATATAACACTAATATTGAACCCTATCACTAGAGAAGATATTGAAAAATTAGGCAGAAGCCGGGCACTGGTGGCTCACGCCTGTAATCCTAGCTACTCAGGAGACTGAGATCTGTGATTAATGGTTCAAAGCCAGCCCGGGCAGGAAAGTTCATGAGACTCTTAACTCCAATAAACCACCAGCAAACTGAAAGTGGTGTTGTAGCTCAAGTGGTAGAGCACTAGCCTTGAGCTGAAGAGTTGAATGACAGTGCCCAGACCCAGAGTTCAAGCCCTATGACTGACCCCCCCCTCAAAAAAAATTAGGCGGAAGCTGGGTGCCAGTGGTGGATCATGGTTCAAAGCCAGCCTAGGCAGGAAAGTCCATAAGACTCTCATCTTCAATACACTATTTAGAAAAGGCCAGAAGTGGCACAATGGTTTAAGTGGTAGAGACCTAGCCTTAAGCAACAGCAGCTCAGGGACAGTGCCCAGGTCCTGAGTTCAAGCACCAGGACAACACCCCCCCCCAAAATAAATAAATAAGTAAATAAATAAATAAGAAAGGATAAGGACAGTGAGTTACACAGAGTTGGTAAGGGTACTGTCAAATGACACCCCAGAGTGGGTGGTCAAACAATTTGGGGTATGTAGTCCCCTAGGAAGAGGGAATGAGAGAACTCTACCCCTAAACAGCACCTTGACTCTTGCAAGTGTGCCATATGGAGGTCGTTTCTAAGTTCTTTACAGTTAATGCTTTCCTCCTCCTAAGGACTTAATTCCATATTGTAGGGATGAGGATGACAAGGACAGGATTACAAAGAGACTATGAAAAGATGAGGGAAATGCATACTTTTAAAGTGCTTAATCTTTGCCTTTTGTACTATGTTAGCATTTAAAATCCATAAAGAGAGCCAGGTGCTGGTAGCTTATGCCTTTAATCCTAACTACTTCTCATGATCTGAGGATCACAGTTGAAAGCTAGCCCAGGAAATGAAAGGAAAAGTCTGTGAGACTTTTAATCTCCAATTAACCAGCAAAAAGCCAAAAGTGGAGCTGTGGCTCCAGTGGTAGAGTACCTGCTCAAGTGAAAGAGCCAAGAGAGTGAGAGGCCCTGAATTCACGCTCCAGTACCCTGTTCAAATAAAAAATAAAATCCAGAGAGAAGATTCTGATTTCTATTTCACTAAGCTAATATTATGTGTTATGCCACTCTGTGTTTTCTACATCTTTAGCTAACCGTGGCAATCAAGGTTCCTATATTGAGTATCACTTGAAACATGACTCTGAGGAAGGAAGAAATTGCATGTACAAAAAAGTATGCTTTATAAAATGAGAGAGCAGCTTTTCAAACATGAATGTGTACAGAAACAACCACTCAAAGATCTTGTGAGGAGGCAAGTCTGCTTTCCTGCAGGCTCCATGTGGTGTGGGTATTGATGCTGGGCCACAGAGCACACTGAGTGGGTTTTATACCATGATCAGAAAACCCATTTTGGGCAGAGAACCCAGTCCTTCAACCTCATCCTCCTCTTGTTTCTATCCCTGAGTTCCTTCCTGACCTCTTCCCTCTGTCTCACTGGTAAGAAAATTTTAGGTTCAAGGAGAATGGATCCAAATGAGGAGAAATCACTCTAAATTGACAACCTCAAACATAGTAAGAATAAGATTTAAGTTGTCCTTTGGCAAGAAACATTTCATTGATATGCATGAATTTTGCAACTTAATGCAAATCATTGAAAAGGTATGTAGTTGCTTGTCTAATGTAGCTGCTTGCCTAAATGAAACCCTATGTCCATATAACTTAAAAACAACTGCTTATTTAACACTCAGCACACTATCTTGTCACTGAAGTCTCTCAGGGAAGTGAGGTGAGCTAACTAGATCCAATTTTCCCACATACCTCAAATTATCTTTTAGGTTTCCAGAAACATATTTATTTTAGTTATTCTTCTTTTGAAATCTTTTTTGAAGTAACATATTCAACAAGTGATTTTATGTATATGTGTGTGTGTGTACATATATATATATATATATATATATATATATTAATGACAATGTTACTATATTGCTGTTTAAGTGTTTGTCTACAATTACTCCAGGGTATTATGAGAGAAGTGCTCTTAGAGGTCTACGAGGGACTGTGTGCTCCAACACAGTGGCATCTCAAGGCATCTTTGGAGAGTTTCTCAGTCTATCTGGAACGGCATTCTCTGCTGCTCCTGCTCTGTGCTCTTTTCCTATAATTTCTGATCCCCTGCTTTATTTTTGAATGATATTCTGGAAATGCTTCTGAAATGGTCTCCCTTCTTTTCTGTTTATTTTTCATGCTTTTTTCCCTTTGTCTTTTGTGGTGCTGAGGATTGTACCTACAGCCTTGTGCAGGCTGGGTAAATGCTCTTAACACTTAGTTCTACATCCAGCACCTTACTTATGGTTTTAAGGCAGGGACTCTCCTCATTTCGGCTTAAAGACATCACAAAGGGTAGTTTCTTACTATGACCACAGAATACTCACTCATTCCAGTGTCCTTACAATACTGGATCAAATACTGTCCCATGACTCTTAGTAGATGGTCATATTCTTGAACATTAAGAAATTCTTGTTTATTATGGGATAGTTCCATGATCTCCAAAGGTATGTTAACAATTCCAACCACACCTGCACCAAGTCTGAGGGAATAAACACATACATAAATTGTGTACATGTTGGCTGAAGAAAAATAAAAACAACATACAGAGTTGCCATTTGGAAAAACTTTTTTCCAGAAAATAAGTTCACTCATTTCATCTAGATTGTGTGAAAATGAGCAAATTATCTTATAATTTTGTTTCATTATCATAAATCTAAAGTCATCTTGTTAATCTTTTTATAAATGGAGAGAGCCTTTCCTTACCTATTAATAATTGCTAGACTCAAATAAAACACAACAATACCATTCAAAAAATAAACAAAATAAAGTCATCCTTGGTTGTTTGGTTCCATCATATAAAATCATATCAGCATATCATTATTCAGTTAATACAACTCTTTTTCTAAACCTATGACTTTGCATGGGAATCGGGGTTTGTGGGAAAGGGAAGTGGGGGGAGGCAGGGGAATTTTAGCTTAAACTCCATTAGCAATGCAATAAACTGCAAAAAACTGGCTAGATGTTCTTAACGGTGTGGGTCAAGATCATATTTTTGTCTCCCATTTAATCTGTCAGGCTAGATTTCTCTTTGGGGAGGTCACTGGGTGGCAATGATTTCTACTAAGAAAACATAGGCTTTCATTACCTCTGAGAATAATAGCAGGTATCCGACTGTTAGCCTAATTAGCAAGAGGATTGTGAGAAAACTCGGCCCATTTTTGTGGTGGCAAAATACACATAGGATTTTGTGTGGTTATATAAACTTGTTCTGAGAGAAATCAACCAGTGATCTAACGCTTACTCCAATGCCCTTACTGTGATGCACCAGATATATCTTCACAAATGAGAGCCCTTCTCTCTCATTTTTAAATTGGTAAAATAGTAAAAACCTGAACAGATGATACAAAGAGTGGAAACATAGCAAGCAATTCAAGAAATTGAAAGCTGTTCCCCTTTTAAAGTGTGTTTTTTCCTTAGAGCAAGCACACAGCTTCACTAATACTATAAGTTCAGCCTGTTAATTCCTTGACAGAAAGAGTAGAGACAGTCCATGCTCTCATTATGATGACCCAGTCATCTTTCCCACAGACAGAATCTCACTTCAGCCTCCCTCTTCCCATGTGTGTGTCAGAAAAAAAGACTATACTTACAAGGACTTCAGTTTCAACTGCGGGCCCACTTTCTCATGCATTTTGATCAAACGGTTGTTACTGTAAATGAACACTCCAGCTTGGCTTTGGTTTTCTATGTTTACTCCAAAGAACAGGGAGAGTGTTCTTGATTTTCTTAATTCTCTAGAGTTATATTTAAAAAACAAAAGTTAAACTTTTCATTGAGTTGAGCACTGGTGGCTCAAGCCTGTAATCCTAGCTACTCAGAAGGATGAGATCTGAGTTGCGCAGTTCAGAGCCAGCTTAGGCACGAAAATCCATGAGACTCTCTCTTATTTCCAATTAACCACCAGAAAACCAGACTTAGCTTTGTGGCTCAAAGTGGTAGAGTGTGGGGCTGGGAAGGTGGCTCAGTGGTAGAGAGTGCTTGCCTTGCATGCATGAGGTCCTGGGTTCGATTCCTCAGCACCACATAAGCAAAAAGAAAAAAGCTGGAAGTGGCACTGTGGCTCAAGTGGTAGAGCGCTAGCCTTGAGCTGAAGAGCTGAGGGACAGCGTCCAGGCCCAGAGTTCAAGCCCCACGACCGGACTCCCCCCGCCCCAAAAGAAGTGGTAGAGTGCTACCCTTGAGTAAAATGAGCTCAGGGACAGTGTTCAGGCCCTGAGTTCAAGCACCATGACTGACAAAAACAAACAAACAACTTTTCATTGAATCAAAATAATAGGTCTAACACTGCTAATTATTAAACCCAGAAGATAAGCATTGAAGGATTGATATATCCAGGATTGATATGTATATATGGATATATTAGATAATATCTCTTTCCAACCGAGTATTCTGCATTAATATAATGTAAAAAAGAAAAACACAATTATACCAGTCAAACACAAGCTCTTATTGATTCAGAAGCCAAGTCCGCCAATTTAAATTTACATAAATCAGAAAACACCAAGAGTTCTGAACTATTAAGTAGTCTGATACAGTACATACATCACCATGTTATTTTTATGAAAATTTATCACTTATAAACTTTCAGGTATTTCCAATACTAGATGTCATGTCTACCTTGCAGAAAGTTCTCAAGTTTATAAATGTCCTACATAGATTAAAATGAGCCAAAGATATTCTTTAGCTTTCTTTCTAACCTTTCCCAAAAATTGGAGGTAAATAAAACCAATAAAGCAAGTTTACAAGGGCAATAGATATGAATTCCTGTCTTTCTGACTCTGTCCTTCCACACTATGTATTAAATGACTTTCCACTGAAAGTCATTAGCAGGATCTGAAGAAACAGGAGGTGGCTGAGAACTGAGCAAAGCACCCAAATTTAATCATTCTCTCCTATAAAAACTCTCTCAACAAGAGATATCACCATTTCCAAAGTCTCTCCTGGGCAGCAGTGATTATTTTCAGTTTAACTTGTCTGGCATTTTGTGAGTTGAAAAACAAATCAACTTCATATGTAAATATCTGGGATTTTTTTTGTTAACAGAGTCTTGCTATTTTTATTTTTTAATGGTATTTTTTATTGTAAAGGTGATGTATAGAGGGGTTACAGTTATGTAAATCAGGTAATGAGTATATTTCTTTTATTTCCTTTTTTGTTTTTTGTTTTTTGGTCCATCATGGGGCCTTAACTCTGGGCCTGGGCACTGTACCTCAGCCCTTCAGCTCAGGGCTAGTGCTCTACCACTTGAGTCACAGCACCACTTCTGGCTTTTTCTGCTTATGTGGTACTGAGGAATCGAACCCAGAGCCTCATGCATGCAAGACAAGCACTCTACTACTGAGCCACCTTCCCAGCCCTGAGTACATTTCTTTTTGAATAGTGTCACCCCTCCCATATTTTTTCCCGTTTTTTCCCCTCCTGACCCCACCCTTCCTCTCCCAAGTTGTATAGTTCATTTCTAACATAGTGTCACTTAATTAGATGTAAGTAATACAGTTATTTGGAATATTATTTCCTATGTTAAACTTTAATCTACCATATACAGGAAGAAACTGGAACCAACCCTTCAGGATTTAAATGAAAAAGTACAGTGAATTTGTTTGGTGATCTTATGGGCAGATCACTTCATCTAGATATTGTCACCTAAACTGCCCAACATTGAACTCATTTCTCTTTGCATCCTACCCATGTGTACACTTGCCACTATATGCTTTATAAGCATCTGATATCCCTTATCTCAGTTGGAGAAACACGACTCTGCTAGGATTGACATAATGAGATGTTACAAGCCAAAAGAGAAGCCATCACCATGACCATGAACGCTGCCTACTTAGAAATCAGAATTTGTTTTAATGCAGAACAGAGGGTCCTGGTATAGAGAAAATCTTTTGTCTTACCTCTGTTTCTCTTTAAGATTCTTACGCTTTGCTTCTACATCTTCCAAAGCTTTCTGTAACACATTCTGGAGAAGTGCATTTGGTTGAGAGAGAAAATAAAACTATTGGATCAGCAAAGGTGAGCAGATACTAACTTATTATCTGGATAGTTCAAGAATAACAATAAGAACTCACACTGCCTAACACAACTGACCACAGTTGACACTCCATAGGTTCTGGTAGACACTCAAGAGTTAAGAAGACAAATCAAATCTCTACCCTCTGTTCTCTTCTGACACATATTCAAATTCTTCTCTGCCTTTAAAAGAGAATTTTTATTCCCTTTAATGGTAAAGTGACTTTGCAACAAACAATATAAAGATCTGGGTGACTTCCTGCTTTCACTATATTTGATGTCAGTATAACT